CTAAAAAAAAGTCACCAATACAACTAAAATATTTGTGTTTCTTTCCCCCATCTGGTGTTTGATTCAGGATAAAATATTTGGTTTCTAAACAATTCTTGTACACTATGTCCTAAAGAGCAAAATTAAAGAAAAGCTAAAGCGTACCAAATCAATCTTCTAAATCACATGAGGCTTGCACCATTTCACATGTATTACAAATTGAAGGAAAAAACATGATAGATGATGATTTTAAAATTATATATTTTAAAAAATTTAACTGTACAAGCTTTACTTGTAGCTTTTAATAATGCCTCTTTGCAAAGTCTAACTTTTTTTTTTAACCTACATATGACACTGCTGCCTTAGATATATAAGACTTTTGGGGTTTTTTAGTCCAATAAATTATCCTCCAAAAGTTTGCCTCCTAGGCTGCCCACATTCTAATTCATCTCTGCAAGCTGAGTTTATAAAATTTTGATCTTTTAAGGCAGCGGTGCAATATGATTTATTTCAGAGAAAACAAAATTATATTCTCATTGGTGACTTTTCCAGTTATATTTTAACTTTTTAACCTTTATGGAAGAACAGAAAGTGTAAAGGAGAAAAAAGAGAGCTTTTATAAAATAAAAGGAAAGGAAATTTTAAATCAGAAATGATTCTGATTAAGAAAACTGGTTATCAAAATCATTTTTGAAAAGGAGTAACAGTGTGTTGAAAGAATTCAGAGCAAAATCTTAGGGGTTAATTGGAGAAAGGAATGCATTAAATATATTTTAAGCAAAATTTCAATTAGCAAAATTAAGCAGCATTCTTTCAAAGATTAATGCCTTAGGTGTTAGCATTTGAGCAACATTTGGTTAAACAAACTTTTTGCTGAATGTTTCATGAGCTCACCACTCTCTTCATTTGACAGGTTTTGGTCTGAAGCCTTTTCTGCCTCTGCAGTGGTGGTACCACTTACACATCCATCTACAGCACCCCCGTTACTGGCTGTTAAACTGGGATGGTTCTTACTGGAAGCTGGGCCTAGGGCTTTGTGCCCAACTTCAGAAGTATTTAATTTAATTTGTTCCTGCCCAGATGTACTTATATCACAAGATACTACGAGCTTCTCTTCCAAGGAAGGGCCTAAACAAACAGCATGAAGGATTATTTGTATGTAACTGCAAATATCCAATCTTTTCAATCATCCATCTCCACCCCCATATTCTAAAGGGAAGCCTCTGCCACATATAATGTGAATTTTGAAATAATTCAATCGTTAACACATTTGTAGAGGACTCAAAACACTTTGGAGATTTGGGAGAACTCAGACATAATTATCTACTGTGATTCTCAAGAATTCTATGAGATAGTAGGTAGAACAGTATAGTGGAAGGAGTATTACCTTAGAAATCTGGTGACCTACATAAGATACAGATACTTCACTAACTACACGGAAGGCCTCTGGCCAGTAACATAACCTCTGGGTCTGTTTCCATGTCTACCAAATGAGTAAGTTTGGACTAAGTACATGTCTGCCAAGATCCCTCCCAGCACTGTGCTATGTCTCAAGTCAGAGTGAGTAGCTGCCCTATTATTTCATATATGATAAAAACAAAGGTATAGAAATGTTTAAAGACTTGTTCAAGGAAAACTGGTAGTAAATGAATGACCTAGGCTTCTGCCCCCAAGTGCTCTGGCACTGAACCAGAAAGAAATCTCTCTAAAGTAGCTTTCCCTATCCTCATTATTTTTAAGAAAATGATATTGGTGAATTTCCCAAACAAAAAAGTAATCTTGAGAAATCAAGATTGTTTTTAAAGTTCTAAGGTGGTCCAAATTGTTCCTAATTTAGGAGCAAAGTTTTAAATTGCCTTTCTGGAATGTGAAGACTCTAGAACTTAAAAATTGAGACTCTTATTTTGACAGAATTTCAACAGTACTCATACATTCATGTACATGTTTCTTTGCCAACATCACTGTATCATTCTACTTATATAACATAAATAAATTATCCCAGGATATCTTAAGAATATTTTCATTAATAATGCTAGGAGTTACCTGCTTTCTGTACATTGTGTGAGGCTGGAGCAGTAGAGAAATAAGGAATTTGCCCAGGGACACCGTGTAAGGCAAAAGGCACTGGAATCTGACCTGGAGGGAGAGGCTGTGCCCCAGCCTTCTGTGTATGCAACTGGCCAAGTGGGGTGGTGGGGTGGAAAGATTGAAAGGGCTGGGACGAAGAAGAAGGCCCACATGAGGGAACTTCAACAGGCCCCTGCATAAAGTCACTGAATTCTTCTTCATCAAGAAAGGCAGGAGATGGGGAGACAGTTTTAGTAGAATGAGATGATGTGGGACAATCTGCAAAATGGAAAATGGCAATGAAACACGCAGAAATGAAAATCAACAGGGAAAAAGAAATTAAGATGTAGCACAATTCTAAAATAATACACTGAAACATGAAAAGTGGAGGTGAACAAGAAATAACAAGTAACAATAGTTGAATGGAATTATACATTGCATGCAAAATACTTTATGTCTATTGATACGCAACTTTATCTTTTTTTTTTTTTTTTGAGACAGAGTCTCACTGTGTTGCCTGGGCTAGAGTGCCATGGCGTCATCCTAGCTCACAGCAACCT